TCCGTGCGTGTGGGGCAAGCGACGTGGTCGTCGCTGCCGCGATGCAGCTGAAGTGCCCGGTGTGCCATGAGATGAATAGACCAGCGGTCGGACACACCAGGTTCCCCGCACGGCTGAAGAAAGTGAAAGAGTTCGGCGATCAGATTGCGATCGACCTGTTTACGGTGCGTACGAACTCGGGCGTGGCGCTGGAGATGCTCAACATTGTGGATATCAAGACAGGCTTCCAGGTGGTCGCGCCCATTAAGAGTAAGCATCCCGGCATTGTGGCCCAGGCGCTGGAGCTGGTCTGGTTCAGCTGGGCTGGGGTGCCTCACTCGCTGGTGTGCGACAACGGCGGCGAGTTCTACAAGGAGGTATTCCGCTTGCTGGAGGGCTACGGGGTGCAAGTGTGGTTCACGGCGGTGGAGGCGCCGTGGCAGAACGGTATGTGTGAACGTGCTGGAGGCGAGTGGAAGGTGCTCTGGAAGGCCAGTACCACGGAGAAGGCTATCGAGACCGAGCTGGAGGTGGCTGCTGCCGCAGTGATGATCACCTGGGCCAAGAACCAGCGGATCAACGAGTCCGGGTTCTCGCCGGCGCAGCTCGTGCTAGGACGGTCCCAGACACTGCCGTGGGGGCTACTCAGCGAGCGCGGTCGCTCACAGCTCGCGGCGCACGAGGCGGTGGACAACGACCCGTGCATGACGAAGCGGCTGCAGGTCTATTGCGCGGCGAAGGTGGCCTTGGAGAAGCTGGATGCCAGCAAGCGACTACGACGCGCTCTAGTTGCTCGCAGCCGCCAGATGCCTCCCAGCACGAATGTGAAGCTCGGCGATGTGGTCTACTTCTACCGCGAGGGCAAGCGGAAGAACTGGCGGAAGAGGGGCCCGCCCTTGATCTTCAAGGCCTGGCATGGTCCGGCGGTCGTGATCGGTGTGGAGCCGGCAGCCATCTACGTCTCGTACGAGGGGTTGTCGACCAAGTGTGATTTTGCGGCAGTCCGCCGCGCATCGCCAGATGAGGCGCTGGGGATCAGTGCCAGAGAGCAGCTGGACATCATGGAGAAGGCTCTCCTCGACATGAAGACTGAGGGGGAGCTCGACATGGAGGATGCGACCAAGGGGTATGAGGACACGGACGAGGTCGTCCCAATCGACGAAGGTGAAGCGCCGGGGGATGAAGCTCGACCCTCTCAAGCTGACGAGGACGTCGAGGGGCAGGCCGAGCAGGGGCAGCAGGAGTCGACGGCAGGGATCCCGCCATCAGCCGTCGTGGCTGCGATGGCCGGTACTTCGGCCAGTGGTGAGCTCGATCCCATTTCGAGCGCTGAGTTCTCGCGGAAGACGAGTTCTCGGGAGAGCGGGAAGACGGACTTCCTGCAGGACGTGGCGCAGCGGCTGCGGGACCAGGGGGAGGGCCCGATCCGGTCAAAGACGCTGCGCGTGGCGAAGACCATCCAGAAACAAGTTGGAGAAGTGCGTGAGCGGGCGAGGGCTTCGACCGCTACGGTGCCGGTGGCGAACGTCGTTCCAGACGGACAGTTCGGGCCCTACGGCAACTTCGCGCCGAAGACGCCGCGCGTCGAGGACGACGAGGACGAGGGCCAAGGACGTGAAGGTGATGCTTCGAGCCTCAGCAAGCCTGCGGTGGAGACAGTGTCTGTGGAGCCTGAGGTCCAGCCTCATGGCAGGAAGCGTGATGTGGTGGAAGCTGAGCTGCCTGAGGTACCATCTCGTGGAGGACGTGACGGGCCACCGGAACCCAAGCACCCCGACGAGGCGCTGTGGGTCAAGGGTGTGAAGAAACGAGCTAGAGCATGGCTCCAGGGTGCTCCTGAAGCAGATCGACGGCGCTTTCTGGATCACCTGGAGACGGTGCCTGCGGTTGATCCACAGTTGGAGGCGATGCTCGTTCAGGGCCAAGCCCGGAAGGAGAAGGTCTGGAGTCGGATGGGCCCACCTACGAAGGCGAATTACGAAGAGGCAGCGGCGTCGCAGTGGACCAAGTGGATTGACACGGAGTCCGTGGAGGTGCTGCTGGAGAAGGAGTCCGCTGAACTCGAGGAGCAGATGAAGCGCGAAGGCAAGGGCGACTACATCATGAGTGCGCGGTGGGTGCTGACTGACAAGAACGATCCCCTGAGGACGGAGGCGAATGACCTACCGTTGAAGGCGAACGCGAGGCTGGTGGTCAACAGTGGCGACCCGGGGCGTTCGGACGAGAAGGCCAACGTGAGAGTGGGCGCGCCCTGCGCGACCGCCCAGTCGGAGATGATTTTGACGCAGGTAGCTGCGTCTCACCCGGAGTGGAAGTTTGGATCGAAGGACGTGAGTGGCGCGTTTCTCAAGGGCGAGGTGGACGAGCGTGGCTTGGTGATTCGCGCTCCGATGCATGGTCCCTCGCTCGCAGATTTCCCTCGAGGTCGACTGGCGCGAGTTCGGAAGGGCGTGTTCGGACTGCCTACGGCGCCGAGGCTGTGGTACCTGAAGGTGGTCTCAGCAGCCCGCAAGTTGGGACTCGAACCTTCTCGCTCGGACCCCGCATTCTTGGTGCTCCACGACCCGAAAGGGAAGAAGCGCGGGCCGGACACGATGTGGGGCTGTGTCTGCGTGCATGTGGACGACTTCCTCTGGGCGGGGAACGAGAAGATGGCGTGTGTGATGGGCGCGCTGGGCAAGGAGTTCGGCTTCGGCAGTGAAGAGTGCGATAACTTTGTGTTCTGCGGCAGGCGGTTCAGCGACAGCCTGGAGGAGCTATCACTATTGACATGATTGAATATGCAGCTGGGCTGGAACCTGTGATTGTACCCAGGGCACGACGCACAGTGGCGCACCAGCCCATGAACGCAATGGAATGGAAGCAGTATCAGCAGGTGGTCGGCAAGATCAACTGGCTGGTGACCAAGCTGCGCGTGGACTACTCGTGCGACCTGGCGGTGCTGCAGCGCGAGAAGGGACGCAAGAAGGGCCCGAGGATCGCGGCGCTGATCAAGGCGAACCAGTTGCTGAGGGAGTTGAAGCGCAGCTCGACGTTCAAGATCACTATGCGACCGATCGACCTCCAGAAATTCGGCCTGGTGGTGGTATCAGACAGCTCGCTGGGCAATGTGATGAGCGACGGGACGGCGTTGCAGGCAGATCCGGCGACCGAGAAGATTGGTACTCAGGCCGGTTTCCTCATCCTGTTCGCGGACCGCGCGCTCGTGGACGGCGGCGTGGGCCGGTTCTCGTTGTTGGAGGGCAAGAGCCACAAGCTGAAGCGCGCGGCGAGAAGTTCCTACGCTGCGGAGGTGATCTCCGTGGGTGACGCCGTTGACGTCGCCCAAGGGATGCGCGACCAGATCGCGGAGATGTTGTACGGCCCCGTGGCAAGGGGCGCAGGCATGAAGCTGTCGGGCTGGCAGATACCGATGACGATTGTGACGGATTCGAAGGGCGGCCACGACAGGCTCAACTCAGACGCCGGGGTGGGCAGCTCGGCGCAGAAGTCGGTCAACCTGGAGTTGGCCAGCATCAGGGAGGTTCTAGATAGGCCGCAGACGATGGTGCGCTGGACGGACGGGACCAACATGTTGAGCGATGTTCTGACGAAGGACATGCCGGCGGACCATCTTCGAGAGACGTTAGAGCGTGGCACGTCGAGTATCGAGTTTAGAGAGGAAATGGTGAAGACGGCCCGGCGTGTCGCTCGAGAACGCTGGGAATCCAGAATGAGGGAGTTGGCCAAGGATGGTAGGTTTACACCCGGAGTCCTTGAGACATAGTGAATGATCTGGACCTCTCCTTTCCTCCTCCAATTGTCTGAGCTCGTGTCGTGCCGAGGCTAGTGCAAGTTTGTACGCTCGAGTGCGGTGTGGTGCTAATTATCTACTCTCTCCTCCTCTTCCTCGGGATATGTACATCCGATTGGACCGGCTGGTCCGTTTGCGTATCGTGAGAGTAAATGACAGGATTTCTGGACAGAGTTTTCTGTGTTTTGATTTCATGAGCCCGGTAGCGTTGGTTCTGGGCTCGCTCCATATTGTAATTTCACCGCCATGGGTCGCGACCATGGCGCCTTTGTCTTGGATGACTGAATGGATGGTTTGCCTATCAGAGGTCGGCCATCGAACTGAGCACAGATCCACAAATATTAAGAATCCGTGAGGAAAAACAAGCCCTTCGGATTGGATCTGTTCCCTGCTCTCGGCTTTAAGCCCGTTATATACCCTTTTCCCCCGCCCTCTCTCCCTCTTATCTCTCTCCCATTGCTGCCGGCTCGGTTCGAGCCGGCTTGAGGCGATTTGGTTCCTGGTAGCAGGACTGGAAAAGGGGCCTCATCCTCTCCTCGAGCCCTGCGGGCTCCGCCGCCGACCCCCGCTGCGGGATCGGGAGGTCAGAGGAGGCCCAACCCAGTTCCGCGCCGAGCCCGACCCCGTTCCGGGGAAGCGGTTCCGGGGAAACGGTGCACTGGGGAAACGGTGCACCGGGGAAACGGTCCAGGGGAACCGGCTGCGGGGAAACGGTTCATGGGGAACCGGCCCCAGGGAAACGGATCGGGGGAAACGGTTCCGGGCAAGCGTTCCCGGGGAAACGGAACTGGGGAAACGGTCCCGGGGAAACGCTCCTCCGGGGAAGCGGTCCCCGGGGAAGAGGTCTCCGGGGAAACGGTCCTCCGAGGAAACGATCCCGGGGAAGCGGTTCCGGGGAAACGGTTCCCGGGGAAACGGTTTCGTATCGCTTTTTTCCGCAACAGCACCCCGTTCAGCAAGCTGCTGGGGGGCAGAAGCACAAGGCCCGGTTCCAATCGGAGGTCGCTGCATCCGCAGAGAGTTCCCCCCAGGCACCCACTCGGATGCGGGACGGACTCGGCCGGCGGGGCCTCGTGCCCGACCAGGAACTTGCCGCGCGCGCTCGCGAGGCACTCGTGAGCGCGCAGCGTTCGCAGAGAAAAACAAACCAATCGCAGTTGACGCTGAAGTCAATCGTCTATCCGTTCTTCTACGCCGCCGCGGCTCATGGGGTCACCAAGGCACCAGGATGGCCACCAACAGTGCCACCAGGTTGGTCACATTCCGTGACCATGTTGGCTCAATCCCATCTTGTTTCAAGATTTGTTTGTGGTTCCTGCCATCGCCGTCCACTCTTGGGAGCCAGGCGTCCTTCTTCGACGCCGCGGTCGCCTCTGCGTCTCGCATGTCGTCGAGCCGGCTCCTGCTGGCAACGGACGCGGCCTGGCGCGCGGAGCTGCTGGGTGGGAGGCTGGTGGTCAAGAACACGTTCATACATTGCGAGGAGCCCCGCCAGCTTCTCCGCGCTTCGCGGTCGGCGCCCGCGCTGCGTGCTGCGTCGGCCGGCTTCGGCGAGCCATCGTCGTCCTCGGCCGTCGAGCGGCGCACCACCCTGCTGTTCCGTAACCTTCCGTACCTGCTCACGCGTGACATGTTCGTGAAGCTGTTGGACTCCCACGGCTTTCAAGGGCAGTACGACCTTGTGTATGTACCGATTGATTTCAAAACGAGCCAGTCTCTCGGCTACGGGTTCGTCAATGCGGTCACTCCTGAGATCGCTACCCGCTGCTTTCGCGCCTTCGATGGCTTCCAGGCGTGGCCCAAGAAGAGCCTGAAGAAATGCAGCGTGTTCTGGAGTGAACGGCAGGGCCTCGAGAGCAACATCCGCGTTTACCGCAACTTGGGGGTGATGAAGCAGGCCACCCCCGAGGCCTGGAAGCCAGCCCTCTTTTCGAAGGGCCGCCGGGCGCCCTTCCCCGCGCCCACGAAGAGGATTCGGGGCACCACCGGCAGACTGGCCCCGCCGCAGCGCGGCTTCCGCCGGCGCGGGCAGCGGGTGAGCAGCGACGGAGCCTCCTGCACCTGACCTGAGACTGGGTGGATGGGGGGAAGGTGACCTGTGAGGTGCAGCACCTGCGGCGCTCACAGTGTGTATAGGCAGGTGTTGCATGCAGTCCTCCAGCCGGCAGGACTGCCACCTTCGATGTGTTCGTGAGGGCAGGTATCGCTGCCAATCGGTCCCGGTTCTGGCGACCGCTGGATGAGGGAGAAGATGGGACATGCATTGCACCACGCGCAGCAACATTTTGAGACCAGGCCTAGCCACAGGTATTCTCGGGGAGCTAGCGATGCGGTTTTTCGCGACCGCAACCGCGGATGCTTGTTCTTGACGAGCACTTATATTGGCCTGTTTGGAGTGGCAGATTGAGAGGCCAGGGTCGGGCAGGGGGGGGGTCATATGAGCAACGCACAGAAGCAAGTTTGGTACTCTCGGCGCTCGAGGTGCACTAGTAGCCTTCATGCAGTGCGGGTCAAATCATACCTTGAACAGAAGGTGGTTTTCAGTATGCGCGCTGCGGGTATGTAGTTTCCAAGTTTGCACGTGCGATCAAGCTGCGATCAAGCTGCATCTCGGAGGCTTAGTAGCCTCGGGGGTCATGCGCTGCCGTCCCGTTCGGTGGAAGAAGTCAGCATCCAGCATAATTTAAGTCCAGTGCACTGGCGTGCCGCTGGCCGTTCCCGCATTTTTGTTGGGGGTAGGGTAGTGGAATGTTTTCCGCTCGAATGCCGCCGTGCTTCAGCGGGCCAGCGCCCGCCCGCTTAGCAACACGCTCTTCCGCAGACGGCTCCCCTCTCTTGGCCGTATGGCCAGAACGCCAGGTGACGACGCTGTGCAGTGCACAGTGCGTCAGCCCTTCTCCTCCCTCTCCCTCCCCCTTCCCGCCCCCTCTCAGAGGAAGAGAGGGCGCCCATGAGGCACGCCTGCGAAGCAGCTGGGGATGAGGCCCTTCCGACGCTGTAGCAGGGCGAATGCGGGTCACAGTAAGTACCGCGACGCCACGTGGTAGTGGCTCTGTGCCCATGTGCGTTTCGGGTGAGCATTTTGCTTGCTTGCCCAAAGTGGGCAAGCAAGTACATCCTCATATTTTTGTGTGTGGTAACTTCACCTACACTCTTTTAGAGGGGCCAGGTATCTAGCTGCCTGCGGCAAGTCCCGTCACCATGACAGCCCAGCATTCTGGGTGGCGACGATTATGATGAGATGGGGAGATGACGACGATGCTGATGCTGATGATGCTGATGATGATGACGACGACGACGACGACGAAGATGATGATGATGATGATGATGATGATGATGATGATGATGATGATGAGGCTGCTGATGATGGTGGTGGTTGTGGTGATGATGCTGATGGTGATGATGACGATGGTGATGGTGTTGGTGGTGATGATGGTGGTCGTGGTGGTGATACTGATTACGGTGATGACGATGATGATGATGGTGGTGGTGCTGCTGCTGCCGATGATAACTTTGCTGCTGTTGCTGATGCTGATGACGACGACGATGATGCTGATTATGGCGATGACGATGATGATGCTGATGATGATGATGATGATGATTATTATTATGCTGATTATGCTGATGATCATGATGACGGCAGTGATGATGACAGTGACGATGATGTTGCTTGCGCTGTTGATGTAGATGGTGATGCTGATGTGTATGCAGATGTTGATGCTGATGCTGATGCTGCTGCTGATGATGATGATGAGGGGTAGGATGATGTTCATGCGGCATTTTGATGATGCTGATGACGATGATGATGTTGATGATGATGCTGATGGTGATGCTGACGATGATACTGCTGATGATGATGGTGTTGATGATGCTGACGACGACGCTGATGATGCTGCTGATGGTGCTGATGATGATGCTGATGCTGCTGCTGATGATGAAGATGCTGATGATGATGATGCTGATGATGATAATGATGATGATGATGATGATGCTGATGATGATGATGATGATGATGACCATGCGGATGCTGCTGCTGATAATGAAGATGATGCTGCTGATGATGATTTCGATGCTGATATTGATGCGGCTGCTGCTGCCGATGACCATGATGCTGCTGCTGTTGCTGCTGCTGGTGATGATTGTGATGATGATAATGATAATGAACATGATGATGCTGATTATGATGATGATGATGATTATGATGATGATGATGATGCTGATGCTGCTGATGCTGATGATGATGATGATGATGATGATGATGCTGATGCTGATGCTGACGATGATGATGCTGATGCTGATGATGCTGCTGCTGCTCATGGTGATGATGATGCTGATGTTGCTGATGATGCTGATGATGCTGATGCTGATTCTGCTGCTGTCGATCATGATGCTGATGATGCTGCTGCTGATGATGATGATGATGAAGATGATGATGATGATGCTGATGCTGATGCTGCTGCTGCTGATGCTGCTCATGATGCTGATGATGATGCTGCTGCTGCTGCTGCTGATGATGATGCTGATGATGATGATGATGATGATGATGCGGCTGATGCTGATGGTGATGATGATGATGCTGCTGATGCTGCTGCTGCTGCTGATGATGATGATGATGATGATGATGATGATGATGATGATGGTGCAATTTGTTTGGGCCGTCTTTGGGCTGTCGTGGCCTTCTGTGAGACAGTCTTGGGGGTCCCATGGGGCCTAGAAAAGGCCGTCTTGGGGCCCTCTTAGCCGGCTTGGGGCTTTTTGGGGCCGTCTTGGCGCTGTCTTGGCCGTATGGCGGGTGTCAGGGGGTCGTCGTGGGGCCGTCCTGGTGCCGTCTTGGGCCGTCGAAGGGCCTTCTAATGCCGTCCCACGGAAGGCCCTCTTGGGCCGTCTTGGGGCCATCTTGGATGCCTCTTGGGCCATCGTGGAGTCCACTTGGGCCGTCTTGAGCTAACGGCAATCGTGCGGGAAGTTCACAATCCTGGAGAGGGCCCGCATGGAATGAGAGTTCGGGCGTTACTTAGCTGCCATGCGGGATGTGCACAATCCTCGAGCGGGCGCGCATGATGGCTCAGGCATTGGCTGCCATCCTCGAGCGGGCACGCGTGGAATGGGGGATTCTGCATTATTTGCAATGCTCGAAGTGAGCCAATCTCGGGCGGGCACGAGGGAAGTGTCCTCGGACAGGAGGGGCGATGCATGCAGCAGTCTGCGTCGAGAGGGGGTGGGGGGCTCCCTTATTAGAATTCAAAGAGCCCTACCAAGCAGCCCTTGGCTCAGGAGGAGAACATACACACAGACACAGTGAATCGTCGAGTCCCAGGAACATCTGGGAAAATATGGGAAGTGAGGGGGAAGACGACAGCCCAGAAACTGTGGGAAAATGTGGGGAATGCTTTTATTTGTGTGCATTTATTGAATCGCTTCGCTCATTCCGCCGGCCCAATTCGCATGACTGAGCCTCTTGGGGCCGCTGGGGGGCCTCTTCAGCGTCGCTTGGGGGCCTCCTGAGGGCCTCTTGGGGGCTTTTGGGGCCTCTCAGGGGCCTCTTGAGGCCTCCTGGGGGCTTCTTAAGGCCGAGGGCTTGAAGTTTTGTTTTTACCTAACAGCGAAGACTGATAGGTTTCTAGTAGTATCAAAAGAGCTCACAGATCACTCCACAGGGGGGTCCGGGCAGGTGTTGGGAGTTGCCGGGCGGGCCTGTGCCGAGCTCGTTTTTCACCAACAGTCACACACTTCGTGCTCTTCGAGTTCCCAGAACTCCATTCCCAGGCTCATTCTGAATAACCGGATGCAACAGTCACACACTTCGTGCTCTTCGAGATCCCAGAACGCCATTCCCGGGCCACCTTTAGAATAACCGGATGCAACAGTCACACACTTCGTGCTCTTCGAGTTCCCAGAACTCCATTCCCGGGCCACATTCTGGAGGGCCGGATGCAACAGTCACACACTTCGTGCTCTTCGAGTTCCCAGAATTCCATTCCCGGGCCACATTTTGGATGCCCGGAGCCAACTGTAGGCCACTTCGTGCTCTTCGAGTTCCCAGAACTCCATTCCCGGGCCACATTTTGAATGCCCGGAGCCAACTGTAGGCCACTTCGTGCTCTTCGAGTTCCCAGAACTCCATTCCCGGGCCACATTTTGAATGCCCGTAGCCAACTGTAGGCAACTTCGTGCTCTTCGACTTCCCAGAACTCCCATTCCTGGGCCACATTTTCAGCAGGGGCAAGAGCACGACGAGGAGGAGGACGAGCAAGACCAGGAGGACGAGGACGAGCAGGAGCAGGACGAGGAGCAGGAGGAGCAGGAGAAGAAGGACGAGCAGGAGGAGGAGGAGGACGAGCAGGAGGAGGAGGACGACCAGGAGGAGGAGGACGACCAGGAAGAGGAGGAGGAGGAGGAGGAGGAGGGGAGGGGGAGGAGTACCAGGAGGAGGAGGAGGAGGAGGAGGAGGAGGAGGAGGAGGAAGAGGAGGAGGAGGAGGAGGAGGAGGACGAGGACGAGGAGGAGGAGGAGGAGGGGGGGGGAGAGTACCAGGAGGAGGAGAACGAGGACCACCAGGAGGAGGAGGAGGAGGAGGAGGAGGAGGAGGAGGAGGAGGAGAGAACACCACGAGGAGGAGGACGAGCAAGACGAGGAGGACGAGAACGAGGACGACCAGGAAGGAGGAGGAGGAGGAGGAGGAGGGGAGGGGGAGGACTACCAGGAGGAGGAGGAGGAGGAGGAGGAAGAGGAGGAGGAGGACGAGGAGGAGGAGGAGGAGGAGGACGAGGAGGAGGAGGGGGGGGGAGAGCACCAGGAGGAGGAGAACGAGGACCACCAGGAGGAGGAGGAGGAGGAGGAGGAGGAGGAGGAGGAGAGAGCACCAGGAGGAGGAGGACGAGCAAGACGAGGAGGACGAGAACGAGGACGAGCAGGAGGAAGAGGAGGAGGAGGAGGAGGAGGAGGAGGAGCAGGAGAAAAGAGGAGGAGGAGGAGGAGGCAGGCTGAGGCTGAGGCTGTGACTGCGACTGCCGTTGCCGCTGCGACTGTCATCGCGAATGCGACTACGACTGCGAGAACAGCAGAATTCGACAACTGGATTTTCATCTGAATCTTAAGGGGAATGCTTTCAGATATGCTTCTACACATCGCTGTTAGGTTGCTTTGCCGGGATAATGTGTTCCCCCTTTGGGGCATCGCTTGGGGCCCTCTTGGGCCCCTCTGGGGCCGTCTTGGATGCCTCTGGGGCCGTCTTGGAGCCCTCTTGGGCCATCTTGGGGCCTTCTTGGGAGCTTCTTGGGCCCTCTTGGGGCGATCTTGGGGGCCTCTTGGGCCGTCTTGGGGCGTCGGGAAGCCGAAAAGATGGACACGCCAAAATCCGCCCAAAACCTGAGGAGAAGTAATGAATTTTGCCTCTTGGGGCCCTCTGGGGAGTGCTCTTGGAGGCCTCTTGGGGCGTCTGGGGGCCATCTGGGGCGTCTTGGAACAATCGTGTGGCATCTCGGAGCAGTCTTGAACCATCTTGGAGGGCTCTTGGCGGCCTCGTGGCCCTTCTTGGGGCTCTCTGGAGGGCCACGGTGGTGGCGCCCAGGAGAAAAACCATCTCTGATCCGACCCTGCCGGGGATCGCCCGGGGTACTTTTCGTCCGAGGACCCCCAGGGGCCGCCCCGCGCGCGCGAAGTAGAAGTATTATTTAGCAGTTACCGGAGATCTTAGCACGCCTCTGGCCCGTTGGGCCGGCGAATTTGTGTGTCCTGGGGCCCCTTCATTGGCATTCTTCCATGCCTCAGCGTGCCGGGGGGGCGCGGTGACGAATTTGGCAGCCCTGCACGTCTGCGATCAACGCTGCGGCCGCCGTTCCAGGTCCTGTAGATCGAGGCGTTGCGTGGACAGCCAACCTGCCCCGTCGTGCGCAGGCGTCTGCCTTTGGCACCCCGGGCGTACATGCAGGACGAGCATGCGGGACGGCTGGAGTGGTGGAGGGCAGCGAGGGGGGGGGTGGCACCTGCGACCGCGGGCCGGCGGGGCGAGCTCGCCGCCGATCCGGGCCTCTCCTCTCGGCGATCTCGGTGAGCAGGTGCGCGGTGCTTCTCCTCCAGCGAATCGATTTTGCGCCGTCGCATTTTGTCTTTGGGGCGGTCGGCACCCACCATGCCCAGCCATAGCATCGTAGACTCCCCCTGTCCCGTGGCCTGTCTGATGGAAAGGGTTGCCCTGACCATCTAGGGTCTACTGCGCAGCTTCCTTCTTTCCCCCCTCCTCTCTTATATCAGTGACGTTCAAGTACCAGTCTGTTAAATGTTCTGCTCTTGCACATGCAGACGTGGGACGGCGTCCCGAGCGGCATCCAGATGGTGCCACCATGCGGCGCGGACACGCACACGTGTTTTGTTTGTCCGCCAACCCGTCGTCCTTCTCCTCCTCCTCCTCCTCCGCCTCCTCATCCTCCTCATCCTTGCCATCCTCCGATCATCACGCGCACATTTCCCCCCTCTTCCTCCAACTTGCGGGTCGGAATCACGCGGGGGTGACGACGCCGACAAGCCTGGATCGGAACCGCCATTATTCCCAACTTTCAGGTGGTTGGGTTCTGGTTCTGAAGGGAGTACTGTGGTCTCCACCTCCTGCCTTCCTGCTCCTCCTCCTGCCTCATGCGCTACTCCCCGGGTGGCTGCGAGCTGCGCAATTGTGTGGGCTCCTGGGATGCACTTTCGTGGGCTTCTTGTGAGGCCTGGGAGCTTCAGCGGGGCGGCGGGCCGCGCGCACCCAGACTTGGACCTCGCGGCGCCCCGAACGGCTGCGAGCTGCGCAGCCGTCGCCACCTCCGTGGGCTCCTGGCCGGCCACGCGGACCCAGAACTGGCTTCGCTGTTCCCTGGGTGGCCGTGAATGGCGCAGCTGCTGTGATCTGTCGTCGGCTCCTGGGAGGTCCAGCGGAGTGGAGGAGTGCGCTCCCCGGGCGTGTCCAGAGTGCGCAGCCGTCGCGATTCTCGTGAGCAAGCAGGTCCAGCGGAGTGGAGGACTCTGCGCACCCAGACGAGGCCTCGCAGCTCCCGGAGTGGCTGCGAAGCGCGCAACTGCCGCCTTTTTTCGTCGCTTCTTTGTGAGGTCCACACACCCAGACCCAGTTGGGACTTCGCTGCTGCGCGCAACAGTCGCCACTTTCGTGGGCTTCTGTGGAGGTTCAGCGGAGTCGGGGGCCATGCAAGCTTACCGGGGACCTCGCTGCTGCCTGGGTGACTGCGAACTGCGCAACTGTCGCCACTTTGGTGGGCTCCTGGGATGTCCAGCGTAGTGGAAGGCCACGCAGACCCACTGGAGACCTCGTTGCTCCCTGTGAGGCTGCCAGCCGCGCAGTCGACACCACCTTCGTGGGCTCCCGGAATGTCCAGCGGAGTGGAGGGCTACGCAGACTCGATTTCCCGTCCCCCTGCACTGGGCTCTCGATTTGAACAGGGCACCGCCGTCGCAACTCCTTCCCCCTTCACGCCTCCCTTCTCCTCTGCCCCGCTGCCTGCCTGCCACCCTGCCTCCTACCCCACCGGGGGCTCGCGGTGGGTTGCGAGCTGCGAAGCTGCCGCCATTTTCGAGGGCGGGCTGAGGGGCCCCGCGGAGTGACGTCGTACGCGGACTCAGATTCGACCTCGCCATCCCTGGGGGGCTGCGACCTGCGAAGCTGTCGCCACTTGCTCGAGGACAGCTGGAGGGGGTCCAGCGGAGTGACGTCGTACGCGGACTCAGATTCGACCTCGCCATCCCTGGAGGGCTGCGACCTGCGAAACTGTCGCCATTTGCTCGAGGACAGCTGGAGGGGGTCCAGCGGAGTGACGTCGTACGCGGACTCAGATTCGACCTCGCCATCCCTGGAGGGCTGCGACCTGCGAAACTGTCGCCATTTGCTCGAGGACAGCTGGATGGGGGTCCAGCGAAGTGACGCTTTGCGCAGACTTTGATAAAGACCTCGCGATCCCTGGGCAGCTGTGATTTGGGAGACTGTTGCCACTTCCGAGGGCTGCTCGGGGAGCCGCCGGTGCGACGTCGTCATACGCAGATTCAAATTTGACCTCGCCACCCCTGGGGGAATGCGATTTGCGACACTGTCGCCACTTTCGAGGACTGCTGAGGGGGCCAGCGGAGTGACGTCATGCGCATATTCAGACAAGACCTCGCCACTCCTAGGAGGCTGCGACCTGCGAAACTGTCGCCACTTGCTCGAGGGCTGCTTGCTGGACGGGGTCCAGCGGAGTCACGTCTACGCGGACTGAAGCTGGATCTCGCCATCCCTGGGGGACTGCGACCTGGAAACCTGTCGCCACTTTCGAGGGCTGCTGGGGGGTCAGCAATCAGCGGAGCGAAGTCATGCGCAGGTTCAGATTATATCTTGCCATCCCCTCGGGGCTGCGACCCGCAAAGCTGTCGCCATGTCCGAGGCCTGCTGGGGATTCCAATGGAGTGATGTCTTACGCGGATGCAAATTATCATTGATTTCCTTTCCCGCGAGCCGCCCGAAGACCTGGTGGCGCGCCTGCGGGCCCCGCACTGCAAGGTGCAGGAAGGAGGAGGCGGGGAACCTGGCGGGCGAGCTCGGCTTCGCTCGCTTCTTGCATTCGCTACGGGCAGCTGATCGTTTGCAGCGCCAGAGCGACACTGCGCGTGCCGCGTTGCTCGTCCAGCGTGCCATTGGAAAGCGATCGCTGCCCTTCTTCCTCATCCTTCCTCTTTCGTTGTCGTCCTCTTCCTCCTTCCAACGTCTCACTGCTGCTGTCGCGTTAACTTTTCGGTCCCTCTTCGGTCCTTTTCCAAACACTCGTTCCCACCCCCATTTTCTCCTCGAGCCTGGGGTTTCAGTCCTCGTTCTTCTGATGCTGTCCAGCGAGTCGTGCAACGCGCGCGCTTCCCATGTAGTTCTGCGCAACCAAATGACCGATCCCGTGTTGCCAACGGCCATGTAATTCTAGACCAACTCCTCTTGTCACTTAGTGCAGATGGGTCGGATACGCCGCATGGTTTTTTTTCCTTTCCATCTGTTATCGAACACGGTTGTCGACGCTGCTGGAAAGGCTGGGTGCGTGCCAATCTTCCGACGAACAGCCATGTCGATGTGCAAACAAGTAAATCGAGTTGTCCCAAAGCGGCGTTGTGTGTTCGGAAAACGTTGTTCGGTGCTCGGGACAAATGTCGGTTCGGTGCACGTGTTCGGTTATGAATGCGTGCTCGGCTGAATCTTGTTTGGTTGGGTGCTCGGATCTGAACATTGTTAGTTTTTCGTTGTTCGTTGTTTTGTGCGGGGTCTGGAAATGGAGGCTGGGTCGAAAACTAAAGCATGCTCGCAGAAAATCCGCACATTGATTTTGATATTCTTCTGGACTCAAAAACGCTTTGTGGAGGACCCAAGCCTCGGATACGCTTTTCGGCGATCGAAGCGGAAAGGCTCCAAGGGGCCTTCAAACAGCCCCGGAACGATTCCAAGGAGTTCCCGAACGGCTCCAGAATGGTTCGGAGGAGCTTTCAAACGGCTCCGAATCGGCGCCAATGGGGCCTCCAAGTGGCTCCGAGAAGGGCGTCGAGGGGGTTTCTGGAACGGCACCGAAGCGGCTCCAGAACATTTTCAGAGACGGCTCCGAAAAAGTTTCGGAAAGCGTTCCGAAGCGGCTTCGAAACAGTTTTGGGTTTCCGATTCCGAAACGGTTCCGAAACGGCTCCAAGGAGGCTTCCGAAACGGTTCCGAAATAACCCCAGAACGGCTCCGAGAAACGTCCAAACGGTTCTGAAAGGGCTCTGACGGGGAGGATGGCCTCCCAACTTGCCCAGAACGGCTTCGAGAGAGCCTCAACGGCTCCGAAACTCTGGAACGGCTCCGAAGCAGCTTCAGAGACGGCTCCGAAAGAGTTTCCGAAAGGGTTCCGAACCAGTTCCGAAACAGCTTCGGAAAGGAATCCGAAGCGGCTCCGAAACAAATTCTGAAGGTGTTCCGAAACGGGTCCGAAGAGGCTTCCGAAACGATTCCGAAACGGCTCCAGAACGGCTCCGAGGAGCCTCCAAAAGGCTCCGACACGACTCTGAGGGGGCTTCCAAACAGGTCCAAAAGGGTTCCGAGAAGGCCTCCAAACGGTTCCGAAGCGGCGACGGAACGGCTCCGAAGTAATGTCCGAGACGGCTCCGAAACAGTTGCGAGTTTCGTAAAGGATTTCGAACTGACTCCGTAGTAGTTCCGGAAGCGCGAAGCGAAGTAGTTCCAGCGTAGTTTCCAACACGGCGTCCGAAAAATTGTTGGCACGGAGTTGATTTTCAGGGTCCCCTGGGTCCACGGACACGGAAGTAGTTTTCAGGGATGGAAGAGATATTGAGATTCCCAGGGGGTTTGGGGACCCAGCATTTTTTGCCAGGGATTGAGGAGTTGATTGATTTTGATAAAATGCTGTCCAGTGGACCGAGGAGTTAATTCTGAACATTCCCAGGAGCTCTGGATGATCCAGAATGTTTTCCAGGGGCCGACCAAATTATTTGGAGGGTCTTGGGGGACTCTGTTGCTGAAGAGCGCTGTCCAAGTTGATTCCTCTCGCTTCGCGGGGTGCACGTCCGGAGCGCGTTCAGTCCAGTCGTTGCGGTGCCTCTTGGGAGCTTCGTGGCTTTTTGGAGGTGTCTTGGAGGCTTCTTGGGGCTTCTTCTGCACTTGGCTTCCTTGAGGCCTCTTGGGGCCTCTTGGGCCGTCTTGGGGCGCTTTTGCGGCGTGTGGCCCATTTGGAGGCTGTTGTTTAAAATGCGCGCGGTGCTTGGCAGTGTTTATGCGAGAAGCGGCGCGCAGCTCCCACCGTGACAAAACAGACGTGCTCTGCCCCACTTGCTGGCGGGCAGAGTAGGCGCCGCGAAGCCGATCCAGATTGGTAATCGCCGATGTGCGAGTGTTCAAATGTGGAAGGTGTGGGCGTTGATTGGCGTGACCTGCTCGGCTGCCGCGCGTGCATGCCTCTCCGTCCTGCCATCCCCAGGGCTTCTGGGCGGTCTCCTGGGGGGCTCTTGGGGGCCTCTTGGAAGCCTGTTGGGGGCCTCTTAAGGCGTCTTTGGGGCCGCCTTTGGGCCTCCCGGGGCTTATTCTTGACGTCTTGCGCCGTCTTGGGGCGCTCTTGCGCCGTCTGGCCTCTTCGGAGGCCATTTTGAGGCTCTCTTGGAGTCTCCTTGGGCCGTCTTCGAGGCACCTTGGACCGTCTTGGGGGCCTCTTTTGGCCGTCTCGGGGCCCTCTTGGACCGTCTTGGGGCCCCCTGGGGGACTTCTTGGGCCGTCTTGGGGTCTTCCTGGAGGCTGCTTGAGCCGTCATGGTCTTCTGAGAGCCAGACGAGGCGAGAACGCGAAAATCATTCAAAAACCAATGTGGAATCCATAATTTTAGCTTCTGGAGGCGCTCTTTGGGGTCCTCATGGGGCCCTCTTGGGCCGTTTTGGGGGTCTCATAGGCCCTCTCTGGGACCGTCTTGAACCGTTTCGGGGCCGTCTTGGGCCGTGGGCCATTTTGAGGCCCTCGTTGAGTCCCAGCAGGCCCCGGAGGCCTATATCATAGATTTTCCATGCGTTTTGGTACGTTTATTCGCCCCGCGGAGGGGGGGCCCAGTTTGGTACGGTCATGTGGCGCGGCTCCAGGGGAGGGGGGGAGGGGTAAGGCGGGGATGCGTAATAATGTAACACAAGACAACATGTACACATTATGTAATATGGAATACATAGGATACGTTGCATGATCGCCTTCGCAGAAAACACTGCCGCTCAGCACGTGATTCGTTGGCTTACGCCGCTCCGCCGACCCCTTGGGACGGCAGCAAGAGTGAAAGACGGAGTTCGCGGAACGCGCGCGATCGCTGGGCAATCTTGGGGCTTCGGCCTTGCGTAGCGTGTGGGGTTCAAGGGGGGGCTTTGTAGGGGATTGTTTTGAAGTTCTCCGTGGTCTTTTATGTGGGTTTCGTGGGGCGTTCACGGGGGTTTTCCCAGGCCTCCTTTTTCACCCCCTGGATAGGCTCGGGGATCGTTGAGACCCAGCTGGGGGTGCGTCCGGCCAGAAGTTCGAGAGTGGACCCAGCTGTGTCGACGAGGAGCTTCCTGAAGGCCCAGAGGCGGCGGAGAGCGCCCAAGAACTAGGAGTCTCATGCCTCGAGCCTCGATCCACCCCGGGTGGCGCCGGCCAGGTAGGTCGATCCTCACCCTGGACCCGCGGCGGTGGTCCCGGGCACCGAAAACGGTTCCTGGATGCTGAATTCGAGGGGATGCCTCGGGTGGTCGAAAGACCGCGAAAATCTGCGAGACATCGGCGGCGACGACGAAATCGTTTTTTTGCTGTTGTTTTTCCTCTTCCTCCTCTTCCTCCTCGTTGTCCTTCTCCTCTTCTTCTTATCGATCGAGGTTGAACGCCCGCGGCAGTTCCGGCCGCTTGTCCAGATTTTTGTTTGATCAGCTCTTGTTTTTGATAGGTTTCGGACCTGATCAGCGGACCCGGGGAGAAGTTCGGGGAACGAACTTGTGCGAAGTAGCCCGTCGGACTCAGGAGGTTTGTTGTGGTCGGGGGGGTTCTGGGCCCCTCCCCTGTCGTCGCGGCTGGATGCGTTTGGAGGCCGCGGCTGGATGCGTTTGGAGATTGCGACTGGATTCCGGCAGCGGTCCAGGGGGTGCTTGGTGAACGATTTTTGCGTGGGGAAGAGAGAAGAATTTCGTTGCGGAGTCTTAGTCATTCAGTTTTTTCGTGGTTTTCGTCGGCGAAGGGCTGCCTCCCGGCCCCGGGGTCGTTCGGGGGCAGTGTGGATCCCCGTCAGGGCCTCTTGGGTGCACTTCGGCGCCCATTCATGTTTTCATGTTTTCTCGGGGCGAAGCGCTCGAGCTCTCCATTCGAGCTTCCCTTCTTGCACTCCTCTTGGGGCCTTCTTGGGGCTTTCCCTGGTGGCTTCGGGGGCCCTGTTGAGGCTCGTTTGTGCCGTCTGGGAGTATTTTTGGGGGCATGCGGGGGCTTTTGGGTTGATTTTGGGGGCTTCTTGGGCTGCCGTGGGACTCGTGAAAGCTCAAGAAGCGAATGTGCTAAAGTCAGACGTTTCCCTGCGGGAAGGGGCCGAGGTTTGGTTGCGCCAGGCCTCTTGGGACGCGTCCTGGTGGCGTGTTGGGGCGTGCAAAGGGGTCTTAGGGGCCGCATGAAAAGGCCGAGAGGCGAGCGTGTTGGAAATATGTGCTTCCCATCGAGAATGGGACGGTTGTTGCTTCTAGAAGGCTTCCTGGGACGCCTTTGGGTATTGTCTTGAGGCGTCATGGGGGGCTTGTAGGGCTGTCGGGAGGCCATGTTGGACGAGTTGGTGCACTGTTGAACGATCTGGGTCGACCGCGGGGCCTTTTAAGAACCCTCCTGGCCCGTCTTGGGGCCCTCTTGGGACCGTCCTGCGGCTCTCCAGGGCCGTTGCTATGGTTTTTGGGGCCTTCGTGGGGCGCCCAGAGGCCGTCTTGGAACCTTTTTGAAAGCCTCTGGGGCTGTAGGGGGTCGATGTTGGATGCTTCTTGGGCCGCTGTAGGCCGCGTTGAAGTCCAAAAGGCGAACGTGCTGAACATAATGTTTTCCCAAAGGAATGGGGTAATTTTTGCTTGTGGGGACCTTCGTGGAACGCCTCGCAGTAGCTTTTTCAAACGTCTCGGGGGCCTATGGGGAAACGTCTGCAGGCAAACTAATGCGGTTTGGACCGAATCGTTCCCCTCGTGGGTCGTCCACAAGGCCTTTGGGGACCCTCTTGGTCCGTTGTGGGGCTCTCGTGGGACCGTCCTGCGACTGTCCTGGGCCGTTGCTGTGGTTTCTGAAGCCTTCGTGGTGCGCCCGGAAACCGTCGTGGAGCCTTTTTGAAAACCTCTTGGGGTGTTGGGGTCGAACTTGGAGGTTTACTGGGCCGTTGTAGGCCTCGTGGAAGCCCAAGAGGCGAATGTACTGAAAGTAAATGCTTCCTTCAGGGAATGGGACGATTATTGCTTCTGGAGGCCCTCTTGGAACGCCTCGTGGACGCGTCTTCAAACGTCTTGGGGGCCTATGGGGCCGCCTGGAGGCAATCTTTGGCGGTTTGGACCAAATCGTCCCCCGCGTGCCCCGTCTGGGCAGCCTTTGAGGACCCTGTTGGCCCGTTTTGGAGCCCTCTTGGGACCGTTCTGCGGCTCTCCCGGGCCGTTGCTATGGTTTCTGGAGCCTTCGTGGATCGCGTGGAAGCCGTCGTGGAGCCTTTTTGGGAGGAGCCTCTTGGGCTGCGGAGGGTCGATCTTGGAGGCTTCTTGGGCCGTTCTGGGCCGCGTGGAAGCCCAAAAGGCGAACGTACTGAAGATGTACGTTTCCCCAAGGTAATTGGACGATTTTTGCTTGTGGAGGGCTTTCGTGGGGCGTCTCGTAGTACTTTTTCAGTCGGCTCCAAGTGTGCGGCTGAGACCTTTGCCCCCCGCCCCCCCCCCCTCCAAACCGGCCGGACTGGGCCCCCGGGGGAGGAGGGGTTTGGGGAGGGGGAAGCATCTCACGCGCCGTGACCCCAAGGGGTCGGCGGATCCAGGAAGCCGAAGGGTGGATTTGGAGGATCCCCAGGAGCTCTCTGGGTGTTCAAAAGCGGCGTCCAGGGAACCGAAAAGGTGATTTTCAGCGAGCTCTCGGTGTTCAAACGCGTGTGTTAGGGAGACGAAAAGTTGCTTTTCTCCAGGAGCTCTGGGTGCCCCAAAACGCTGTCGAGGGGACCGAACAATTGACTCTGAATGTCCCCAGTGGCTCTGGGAGCCCAAAAACGTAGTCCAGGGATAGGGGGAAGTCGATTATGAGGGTCCTCCGGGACTCACGGTTCAAAAGCGTTGTCCAGGAGCCCGACGCATTGATTTTGTGGATCCCCGGGAGCTTTGGGTGTTTGGAAACGCTGTCCAGGGAATCGAACCATTGATGTTGAGGGTTCCCGGGAGCTCTGGGTGCTCAAAAATGCTTTCCAGGTGGCCGAAGAGGTGAGTTTGAAGGTCCACACGGGGGGCTCTGGGTGTTCAAAAAATGGTTTCCACGTGTCCGAAAAGTTGATTTCGAGGGTCCTCGGGAGCTCTGGGTTGATTTTGAGGCTCCCTGGAAGCTCTGCGTGATCAAATATGCTCCCCAGGGAACTGTGAAATTTATTTTGAGAGTTCTTGGGGGCTTTGGGTGTTCAAAAGCGTCTTCTTGGGGAGCCGAAGATTGGATTCCGATGATTCGCGGGGGCTCTGAGTGCCTCCCAAAAATCTGTCCAGGGAGGCGAACAATTGATTCTGATGGTTCCCTGGAGCTCTGGGTGCTCTGGATGCTCAACAACGCTTTCTAGGGGACCGCGAAGGATCTTGAGGGTGCCCGGGGCTTCTGGGTGCTCAAGAACGTTGTCCAGAGGACAAATGTTGATTTTGGGATTCCCAGAAACTTTGGGTGCTCAAAGACGCGATCCAGGGAGCCGAAAGGTTGATTTTGAAGGTGCCCAGGAGAAAACGTTGTCCAGGGGACCGACAAGTTGATTTTCACGGTTCCTGGGAGCTATGGGTGTTAAAAAACGTTTTCCAGGGCCCGAGAAGTTGATTTTGAGGGTCCCCTGGGCCTGGATGTTCAAAAACGCTGGCGAGGTACCCAGAAGTTGATTCTGAGGGTTCCCCAGAGCCTTGGGTGCTCAAAAACGCTTTCCAGGGGATCGAACAGTTGATTGTGAGAGTCTCCTAGGAGCTCTGGGTGCTGAAAAATGTTTTCCACGGAAACGAAGATTTCATTTTGATGGGCCCCGGGTGTTCAAAAGCGTTGGCCAGGGAACCGAACAGTTAATTTTGAGAGTGCTGGGAGCTCTGATTGCTGCAAAAAGCTGTCCAGCTCTGGGTGCTCGAAGACGGTGTCTGGGGGACCGACAACTTCATTGTTGAGATGCCCGAGGGCCGTGGGTGTTCGAAAATGCTGTCCGGGAACCGAAAAGTATTGAGGATCCCCGTGAGCCAAATCTGGGTGCTCAAACACCTTTTTCCAGGGGGCCGTGGCGGCGAGTATTTTCCAGGACAGGTCGCGGCATCGGTATCATTTCCTCTTCTAGAGTGCCCCCAGTTGCAGTTGCGCTCGCTCGGCATGGGCCACCCCTCTCCACCCCACGGCGTCTGCTCGTCGGTGCCATCTGGCTCTTTCGCCTCGGCAGCAGGCCAAGGCCTTCGTTTTCCCTGTCCACAGGGTACGGGCGTCCCCTCCAAGCGAAAAGCAGCCACCGCCCACCATGGCTTGCGTTCTCAAGATCGTCTGTGGAAGCCAGATCAATCGCGTCAGGTTCGGGGGGCAGCCCAACTTCGAAACCATGGACGCGGCCGTCCAGAGGGTTCTGCCTCGGTGCGGGGCCGTCGTTGCCACGTTCAGCGGCGACCGCGAGGCGTGCCTGCTGACGCCGGCTGCGTTCGAGGCGTTCTTTGCGAGAGGGCGCGAGTTGGCAATCGGCCAGCTGGTCCTTCGCCTCGGAGTGCGCGAGCTCTGCGAGGAGTCGTTCTCGGCGACGCGGCACGCTCAGCAGCAAGGGCCTCGTCCGGGCAAGTTGCGAGGATTCGACTGGCGTGGCCCTGTGCCCGAGTGCTGCCGCAGGGGCGCGAACTTGCTCGCGGTTCGCGGTCTGGCGATTCGCACTGTCTTATCCTCATTCTCCTCCTCCTCCTCCTCATCCTCCTCCTCCTCCTCCTCCTCTTCGTCCTTCCATTTTCCCCTGGGGGAGCGGCGCGGGAGTGCGCGCTTCGCGCGCAGCGCCGAGCGCGAGCATTAGCGGCCATCCGATGCGGGAAGGATTCGATTCGGTTGGCGGGACCGCCTGCCGGCATGCCCCCACGGATGCCCAGCACGGTGAGAAATGTCATTTTGCTTGGACGCGTAATATGCCGCAATCGCACGCGGTGCGCTATTTTGGGGGGACCGCCCAACGAAACGGGCGCCGAGGTTATATCCTTCGTGGCGCTGCTCGACCAGCGTTCTTGGCCCTACCCTCTGAAAAGCGTCAAAGGACACCCTCATCGGATGGCATCAACAGTACACCTACACCGATCCTGATCATGCCAGTCCTGGGCCCAGGACCGGTGTGTGTATATTTATATATATGTATATATATATATATATAGATAGGCCTTCTGGTCAGGCCAGGAGGGCGTGAATACCCATCCTGGTCCCAGGAATGGCCTCGTCAGGACCGGCGCAGTTGTATAACTGACGCCCTCCGACCTCACCTCCTGGACACTTCCCCTCCCCGCGGATGCCCCTGAGCCCCGCCGCCGAGGCCCCGGGAGGACGACCGCAGAAGAGGCGGCGCGAGGCGGTGCGACGACGACTACGACTACGACGACTACGACTACGACGACTACGACTACTCCCGGAGGCCGCCGACGGGCCGCTGCTCTCCGTGCCCCGCTCTCGGCGGCCGTCCTTGCGGCGACGACGGCGGCGGCCGGCGGCGGCGACCGACAGCGGCGACTGGCGGTGGTGACCGACGATGGCCGACGACGACCCGCAGCAGCGGCGACGACGACGGCAACGACTGCGACCTCTCCTCCGCGCCGCCCAGCGCGCAGCGCGTCCTGGCGGCGACGACGACGGCTTTGGCGGCGACGGCGGCGACGGGGACGACGGCGACCACACCAGTGACGAGACGGCGTTGGCGAATAGAGGAAGAGGTGGAGCATGAGGAGGAGGAGGGAGGAGGAGGAGGAGGAGGAGGAGGAGGAGGAGGAGGAGGAGGGGAGGAGGAGGAGGAGGAGGAGGAGGAGGAGGAGGAGGAGGAGGAGGAGGAGGAGGAGGTGTTAGTTTTTCGCGTTCCGAGTGTGTGAGCAGGATCAGTTAGTGACCCACGGCCGTAGGGCGCACGATTTGTTAACATCGTCCGTCCGCCGCTGTTTGGCTCGAGTTGAATTTGTCTCCAGGAAAAAAATGCTCCCATCATATTGTTCTCGCTTCGCGTATCCCCACCAGGTCCGTAGCCAGTGGCTCAAGCCGTCTGGTGGGCCTGCCCCCTCCGGGGCAGTCTCCCGCCTCTCGAGGGGGCGCCCGGACGCCGCTCCGTTCCCCCCGCCCAGGACCGCGGTGTCCCCCCGTTGGCCACGCACACGATGCTTGACCCGCCAGATGGAGAGGATGACGACGCAGATCGTGCAGTACATGGCTCGGTAGTCCAATTACTGCCACCGATCGGGACAACATCCCCCCACGTGGAGCAGCCTTCGCCCACAGGCGTGGCAGACCCAGCGCCGAGGGCAAGTCTGAGACCACCTCCTCCTTGCTCGGTGGAAGGAGACTCCCAGGTACTGGGGGATGGCCCGGATTCGGCGACGAATCCTGAGCATATCCCAGTTCCCCCCACGCCTCCCCCCTCCCCGCGAAGGGGGGTGGACAGCCCACTCGGGGCCCGAGCATCGGACGCAGCCCAGTCCACAGCGGTTGGAAATGGAACCCCAGAACCCACACGTGGGACAGTGGGAGAAGGGCGCCCAGGTGAAGATGACGCTGGACACCGAAGGGAAGACGACGCTTTCCCCCCGACGGTGTTGACGGAGGACCCTCCGCAGGATGACGCAAGCAGAGACATCACCGTTCCCCCCCTGTCCTCCTTCAATTCACCAGATCTTGCGGCTATCGGCTGCGCCTTCTCCTCTTCTCATCCTCCTGCCGTGCAAGGCTCTCATGCGACGTCATCCGCGGTTGGGCACGATGTTCAGGGACTGGCCAGTGGAGCGCCTGTTGCTGGATTCCCCCCCGACAGTGGCGGCAGCAGTCCCCCCGCAGTCCGACGTGAGAAGATCCATCCCGGACGACCCAGGCTCCACGCGGACGCACATCAATGACGGCTCCCCCTCCTCCTTCAATTTGCCAGATCTTGCGGCTATCGGCTGCGCCTCCTCCTCCTCCTACGGCGCAGGGCGCGCCTGCTCTTCCCCCAGCGGTGAGTAACAGTGCCCTCGACCAGGACGGCGGGACAAGGGTGGCTGAAACACCAGACGCTGAACGGGCTGGTTCCAGAGAGGACGACGGCGCCATGCGAACGCACATCGAAGACCGCTCTCTCCCCTCCATCAATTTACAAGATACTAGGGCTATCGGCTGCGCCTCCTCCTCCTCCCATCCTCCTATCGCGCATGTTCCCCCCGCTACTGGACAGGGTCATGGCCCCCATCGTGACGTAGGAAGTCCATCGAGGATCCTTTCCTCCCACGCAGTGCCAGCGCAAGCTCAAGCAGAAGCAGAGGCCGACGACTCGAGCCTCGCAAGGGCGCACAGGTCCGTCTCTTCCCCCCACTCCTCCAATTTACCAGTGTCTGCGGCTATCGGCTGCGCCTCCCCCTTCTCCTCCTCCTCGCATGGTGCGCGACTATCTGGCAGCGGCCCACGAACGTCCACCGTGCCAGGACACAGAAGCATCCGAGGTGGCATCTGGGATCAGTACCCCAGAGCGTGGTGTTGCTCAGGGGGAAGAGACTAGCCCTGGTATGCGGACAAACGGGCGCCCGAGTAGGTCCCGAGGCGCGGCGCGAGGTCCCCCATGCGACCAGGAAGGGGGCCTGGCAGGGAGGGGCGCCGACGACGCCTGCCCGCAGATGCAGGGCCTCCTAGCCCCTGCGGAGGAAATATGGGGCTGCGCAAAGCAGCACACACGAGGCGATGCATCACGCGCCAGAGCCTCCCAGCGGGGGCCGAATCGCGGCCTCCCCCGGCAGGGCTTCCCCCACTCCACATGATCCAACTACGGCTTTCCCGACCTGGCTGCCCAGGACTGACGCGACAGAGGACGTCGAAATATCCCCCGCTGTGCCATTCGAGCCGATAGGAATCCGCGCGGACGGAGAGAGGCAGCATCGCACGGAGCGTGGCCGCACCATGAGGACAGGGATGGGCGCTGCGGGGGGGGTCGCCTCCAAACGAGGGCGAACGAGGAAATGACTCCCCGAGCGACGTGTGGGCGCATGATTGGGAGAGCGACGACGGGATCAGCATCGATTCGGACGCTCGCGGTCTCGACAGCCCAATCCCCCCCCCCGGGCATCTGGCCCGCTCCACCTCCCGGCTCAAGGTCACGCAGCCCAGGAAGGTGGGGGGGCATGCGCAGGCAGGGGGGGCGCGCGCCCCAGCTCAGACCCCCCCCTCCGCCAGGGCGAGGGGCGTCGCGCAACGTTGACTCACCCTGCCTGGCCCCGATAGTTATGGGCCCCAGGAACACCATGAGAGGGGGTCCTATCTCGGCCCTACTGGAGCAACATGAGCCTAGGGGTGGGCCATGGAGGAGCATCCCCAGTGACCCCCCTCGCAGCCGGGCCATGCGCGAGGGGCTGGTGGAGCTAATAAGCTTCTGCTGGCTCCGACACCCCCCAGGGAACGCAGGCCCCCCCGCTACGGGGGGAAACGACCGCTCTCACAGGGGGGGGCCCAGACCCACGATGCAGGAGCAAGAAAGCGCAAGAAGCCTCCGCAGCCGTGCCTCAGCGATGGCTCAGCTGGATCTCTCCTGGCTGGTCTGGTCCATCACAGGATCCGATCATGAGGCTAGGCTCGGTAGAGAAGGGCCGGGTCCAGTCCAGGTGCTCGCTTTCCGCTGCGCGGGTCTGTCACAAGATCCAGACGTCGAAGCAGAAATCCAGGATTTTGAGGAACCAACGCAGGAAGAAACCATTGCGGCAGAAAGGGCATGTGACATACTACGCCACGCCGCTCTCTACGTGGACATTGGAGTGCGTGACCGGTCAGAGGGCCTCTGCCCCTAAACTCTCCTCGGTTTGTCCAGGTGGCGACGCGACCCTGCGCCGGGCGTGGCGGAGAACGGCCCAGCTGACACCAATTCAGATCACAGGTCCAGGCTGTGCGAACACTTGGTCCACGAGCACCGCCGTAACACGGTTCACTTCCCAGGCCATGGCGAAGTCAGGCAGTGGGCTATTAGTAGAGGACGCTGGTTCGATACAGGGGCTGACGTCCTCTCCTTGCCACAGTGCGGCACCCGTCGGGACGGTTGGGCCACTCCAGCCATCCCCAGTGCCGAGCCGCAGACTCCAGACATAGGCGGACCCGGACCTTCCGAGGGCGTCAACTTGGCAGGACCCTGGCCCATAAACAGCACCTCGCAAATGATGAGGTTCGGAGACTTCTTCCACCCAGACGGCAGATGCGGGTACTCTGGCTGCTGGAACACGCGCCAGGACATCCCCAATTGCATTGTGTGTCACAGGTTAGGATCACCATGGGTGACCTCTACGGACGATACGCACACGGGCAACCTCGAAGCCCCCGGACACCCCCTGGATCTATTCGGCACAAGGCTTACCTTCCAGCTGGCCAGAGTGGGAGCTCGGCGCGCACGTATCGCAAGCCACCAAGACCCCCACATCCCCCCGCCAGAGGCCACCAGTTTCTCCCCGTCGTGGCTGATCGCTGAGCTTCTCGCAGCATGTGGCCACATGACGGAAGTGGCATTGGAAAGCGGCATGGGGGCAGAATCTGGAGCATGCCCTGCCGCGGCGGGGGGCACGGGAGTGTGGGGCGAACCGGCATTTCGGGCAGCGGCGGGTTCTCTGGCCAGACTCTGCTGTGCCCCGATGGGATGGGTTATCG